ATATTCATTTCTTTCTTCAATATTACCACGTGCTAAATTGTGAAACCAAATCAAACCAATCAAAAATTTACAAAACATTCACGTAAAATAACAACACTTTTTCCTATGCGTCAAAATGGTCAAAATGAATGAATATGAGAGAAAACGTCAAGAAAACATCGAGGCTAATCAGAAAATATTACGTGAAATGGGTCTTGAGAGACCACTATCGTTTTCTTTGCAAAAACCACCGCCAACACCAAAAAAACAACCTCCTACTCAAAAAACTAATAAAAGAAAACGCTATGCAGGAGTTGAAAAAAATAGAATCGTGAGGTCTTTAAGAACAAGAACAATCACTATTGAAAATTTAGGGTCAGCAGGTGGTCTAAGAAGATCCAATAGATTGGCAAATAAGGTATATCCATATAATATGAATAAAAATATATATGGGTGGTTTCTAGCAAAAGAACGCTAGTGTATAATACCTCCTTTTTACCTCCTATATACATACATACATATATATATATACGCACAATCTAAATAAATATCTCTTAAACAATTAAGCCAACAAAATCTTTTACGGACGAATGTTCCGATGAAGATAGTAATGATGAATATAGTAGTAATGAAGAAGATAGTGATGAATATGAAGCAAGACCTAGAAAAATTTATCGTCCAAAACCTCCATTAAATCCAAATTGGCGTGAAACACGACCTGATCCAAAACAATTCGGTGAAATTCCTAACGTTCCAGTTGGTACTTGGTGGTTCACTCGTATGGAATGTTGTCATGCAGGAGTCCATGGGTGAGTGGCTTGATAAAATTGAAATGCTATGAATTTAATATAAATAAATAAATAAATAAATAGTTAGATTATAGATTAATGTTTTTATTGCAATATTCAAAATAGACCGCCTGTTGCTGGTATTGCTTATTATAGTGAAGGGGCAACAAGTGTTGCATTGTCTGGCGTGAGTTATTGCTAATTATTTTTTCTTTTATTTTTTGGAAAATTTATATTTAAATATAATTAAATATAACTTTTATTTAGGGATATGAAGATGACGTTGATTGGGGTTGATAAATTTAATATATATTTAACATAAAAAAGGAAAATAAATAAAGTTAATTACACAGTGAGTCTCGGTATAGCGGATAATTTGGGCAATTAGAACAAAAATTTCAAAAATCCGTTATACCGAGATTAATTCAAGATTTAATTAGTAAATCCGTTAAACCGAGAGAATTTACTTATAGACGGTTCTGAGCTTTGATCCGTTAAACCGAGAGTTTTATTAGACATCCGCTATACCAAGGTCCGCTATACCGAGACTTACTGTGTAATTAATTAAAAATTAATTAATGAAATATATAATTTTAAAATGTCTCCACTTTTTATTATTATTAATGGATTCGTGAATTATTATGTTCTTAAAAAGAAGGCTTGTCGAGTCATTGGTTTATTTATATATTTTTTTTTGTATCTATTCCTTCATCAGTTGTTCATGAATCCCGTGATGAATTGTGGGCGTGATGATAAAGATGGGGGCGGGGTATACATAATTAATTGTTTTCAGACAAGGTGAATATTTTACCGTGCTTATTAGTCTTCTTTCTTACCGATTTAAAGTCGCATATATTATTTACATCTCTTAAAATCCATGTTGATTGCAATTCAAATTTTCTTCATCAATTTCACGGTCTGAATATTAAGCATCATTATTATTGTTATTAGAATGACACATATTACAAGTTCTTGGCTTATACGCGCAATAAATAAATATTAAGAAATATCAACTGGCTCAGCCTCAGAGAATTTATTTGCTGCACACACAGCCTTCTCGTATATTATAATTATTTATCAGCCGATTGTAAAATATGAAAATAGATTAAAAAAAAAAATTTCATGTTTTTTTAACTAATGTCGAAAATAAATAGTAATAATTATAATTATAATAATTTCATCAACTTGAATGACGACGAATGTTCACGCGATGAAAAATCGAAAAATGATTCAGTTTTGAAATGGAAAACATTTTTTAGTGAAATTTATAATGAAAAAAATGAACTTTACAATGCTAAAAATACAATTTCAATCGAAGACTTAGTTTATGATGCCAAGGGGTAAGAGAGTTTTTGCAAAATATGAATTAATGCATAACATTTATTTATATTTAATTGTTGTTATTATTGTTGTTGTTATTATTATTATTATTATTATCATTAGAATGCTAAATGCGAAAATCACTTGGAACTCTTTCATCAAATTATGGAATGGACAAGATGATGTTAACGTGTTTTCCTGGCGAAATTCTGATACCAAAAAGAAATATTCGGAATGTGTCCAATTCTTATCTACAATGGTATTATTGTTATTTATCATCATCATCATTGTCGTTGTTATTATATTTATCAATAAATTTTTGTTATAATTAAGGAAAAACCTGTTCCTTCAGCATCTACAATTAGTAATAACACACTCGGTTCGACATCGTCATTATCGTCATCATTATATAACAATATGCTTGAACAAAAGTCATTTGAATCCAAGAATGTTGAAGTAGGATACAAAAACGTAGAAACTAATGGAAATTCATGGACTTCATTCCTATATTCCATGAAATCTAAAGAACCTAGTGTCTCAACTGCACCTACTACATCACCAAGAAAACAGACCTTTGAAACAGAAAATAAAATAAATTCGACAAATAAAGGTGGCGATACTGAATTAATTAACTTGAAAACTAATAATTCAGATTTTGGTAACATGATTTCTGCCAATAATTATAATGATGACGTTGATGATTATGACGACGATGACGATGATGATTATGATGATTGTGATGATGGTACTTTTTTATTTAATACGATCTCTAATAAACAAAAAAAATTATCATCATTGCCACCAAAGAAAAAGATTGGAAATTTCATTTCCACAAATCCATTTCCGACAAGGATACATCAGCAGCAGCAACATCACCACCACCATAGTCGTGTAACAGAATTGACAATTGATTTATTGTATTCTGATTTTAAAAATATTAGTTCTAGTTCATTATCATCAGAATTTGGAGAAATGGTTTCAGCAAATGATTTGGAAAATCATAACAAATTAATATTAACTGCAGATTTAATTGATTTCACTAGTTGAAAATGGTAAATATGATTATTAAAGATAACTTTAATAATAATTACCAGAAATTTTTGTTTAATTTGTATATATACAAGTATTATATCCGGAATCCAAAGTCACCTCAAAGTAAAACCATTTATGTTGATGAAAACAATAAAAAGAGAGTTTTCTAAAAAACCATCTAATTGTTTTATTTATTTTTTTTCTCACGCCTTTTTAATTTATTGACAATCAACGTCGATCATGGTTAACATAATAAACTTTTTTTATTTGGAACCTTTTTCAGTTTCAGATATAACTACATATTCTTTTCTAATGAAAAAAAAAAAATTTGTTCTAAATACATTTACTACAAACATAAAACATAATTAACATTCATCGATATGGCAGCAGAATCAACGACTCACAATAATGCCTCTTCTAACACTAACACTAACACCAATACTAATTGCTTCTTATAAGACTAACACGAACACTAACCACTTTTACAACACAACAACATGCTAATGGAAAAGAAAATCACACCTCATCATCTACTACCACTAACATTATAGAAATTGTTTGGCTTTTCGTACTCGAGTATTATGCTTTCCTGAACAAACAGCCCAGCCATCTTCACTGGTTTATGGTAAAAATTCCTGTTTAATTCATGGTATTGAAGAAAACTTTGTTTGGTGAAATGGTATGATTTTAATATACAATACTATATTTATATAAATCTTTTTAAAATGATAATAGGAAATTAATGAAAAAATTGAATCATTGAAATATAAAAATTGTAAAGTTATCGTTACAAACGTGGATTGTCAAGCATCGAATGATAATGGAATATTAATTCAAGTGGTGGATTTTATGAGCAACAATGATGATAAAGTACCAAGAAAATTTGTACAAACATTTTTTCTTGCAACACAAACAGATGGCTGCCATGTTTTAAATGATATTTTTTGATACCTAAATAATGTGATGATGATGATGATGATGATGATGATGATGATGACGACGACAACGATGAAAGTGATTTAGATAGCAAGGTCGAAAATGACTATGACATTTGTTTGAATGTTGAAAATCCAACTTTACAAACAAAAGAAAGCCTCAAAGATTACCCCTCTTCAACATCTCCAGTTGAAACTTTGGTCGAGGAAGATATTAGCAAATCTGTTTTCTTGGAATCTATTGATGTATCTATCTCTTCTACCAGTCATGTAAATACTTCTGACGTTAGCAACACATCAATCCCTCCCATCACTACTGATAAGGCTGATTTCGCAACTTTTAATCACAAACTACTGCAAAAAATGACCAGAAACTGATCAATCAATAAGATCATCTTCTGTCTCAGAACAACCACAACAAAAATCAATTGTTAAATCAATCACTCCTAATTCAACCACGCAACCTGTTATCCAGCAAAGTCACTTTGCTAATCAAATAAATACTACTCAATCAAACAATGATCAATCATCAATAGGCACCTCATCTGCTCAAACTATTCCTAATAATACTACAACCACTACCAAAAGCCAAATTATCAAATCACCCGTTCCTAAACCTTCAATACTACCTGTTACAACAACACAACCAATTAACAATACTAATCAGCAGCTACTCAAATAAATAATGAACAATCATATTTAGTAACTTCAATTGCCAATCAATAAGTTAACAATCTTCAAAAGAATGCAACTTTGCAATCTACAACTTTTATAAATGACAAAGCTTCCACCAAACCTCAAAATTACTCAGAAGCCGCTGTCAAAACTCCCTCTAAAAATGATTTACCTCCTCCAATAAACGCTCATTAATCATCAAAAGATATCTCCACAAGGAATTAACCAACATCTTGGTGAACCTCTTGTCGTAGACAGCTCTGTCTCGTCCAAAATTGCAACAATAACAACAGCGGCATCAGCTACCAACGCAAAACAATAATAATGTACAAGTGGAAAGGCCTGATCAAAAACATATAGAGTCTGTTCAAAAAAAGAATCAAGCTGATTCAACTTTATCTATTAATCAAGTCACTGACAAATCTGTTGATAAGAAAAATAGCAGCGACTTTAACAAACCACAAAATAACACTAATCAATCAATTGAAAATCCCAAAGATACCGATCAAAAACAATTAAATGATAGTCAAGCTAGACCTAAATTACCGACTCCTCCAGTCAAAACATGGACGAGCTTAGCAGCAAATGGAATTGACAAGTGGAAGAATGATTTGTTATATGACAACACCAAAGGACCTTTATCAATTGCTACGATAAACTTCAAAAAATGTCATCACAACAGCAACAAATCGTGATAATAAGGAAAACCATGAACATTCCCAAGATGAGCAAGGGCTCGGTGTTCGACGTGTTAGCGGTTAGTTAAATAATAATAATAATAGTCTCTATCATTTTCTTTTTTTGTTTATTGCATATATCCATATATATATTTAGAAATCGGACTTTTAATTTATGTTAAGAATGTTAAAAATGGTACGACTTGTCATTTATTGAAAAGTAAATTTTCAAAGTTAAACATCTTGATGTTGTTCCCACGAGTGTAAGTAATAATTTTACAATTGAAAAAAATTTTTTTTTATGTTCAAAGTTACTAATATATAAACAAACCAAAATGCCCTCAATGCAAAAACTTTTGTGGATGAATACAATCAACCTTTATATTGAAGAACGTCGACCACCCCAACACAATAATAGTTATAACGGATAACTACAAAAGTTGTCAACGTATTTGTAATTATACAGACTTGATTTTTTAAAGAAAAAAAATTAATATGATTTTATAATAAAGTTATCTCCTAATCTTGATGTTTTATTAATAATTCGTCTTCTCATCTCTTTCTAAAGTAATTGGTCCTTTTTTAAATATACTCGCTCAATTTAAATGGTAAAGTTCCTTTCCAATTTTTCATTAGAACCATCAGAAATAAAATTTGATTTAAAACAAATAATGGCCAATATTTTATATCACCATCTAATAAGCATTCTAAATCTCGTCAATGTTGTCCAATTATATTCGATATCATTTGAAATCACCATCAATATCAATACCAAAACGTTTAAGATTCTTTCATAAATCCATCAGTCAAATCATTTATTCACAAAATTATATTTATAAATATGATGAATAAATCGATTTATGAATTAATAATATATAAATTACATATTGCGACAAGGAAGGTGAAGATAAAAATCAGAATTGTATTGATAACGAATTTACAATCTCTTGCCTGTGTTTTATTTTTGCATTAAAACCAAATTAAGCAAAAGTGAAGGAAAAAAACCAATTACACAAAATATATGAGAAGTATTACGACCACAACCATTATCGCTACTATCTGTATACAGAAATTAAATATGTCAATTAACAAAAATCCACAGTTAATAATGATGGGTGGGATTGCTAGCAAAAAGATGTGATGATTGCGTTGGGCGATTTTACCCAATTGGACACATGTTCAACACTGGTTTATATGTCGTTTATCAAATACCACCTACAATTATGCTCTATACTTGGAATGGGTGAGAAAGTTCGCCCAGAGTGAACATTTGGGCTGTTAAAAAAAAATGAAGAAATCACATTCAATCATTATTAATCAATGGTTTTCCAATAATACATCAAGATACATGCACTCCATTAGTCAGATGCTGTCGACAAAAGCGTATCAAACCAAGTATAAACTATCATTCTCTCGAAGCTATTCATTGTCCGGACTTTTTTCTATTTTCAAGTGACATTGATCGTTTACTTCGGAACAGGGGTTTACACATTGATGAACTTAGCAGATTCGGAGCTTCTATTTTGAAAGGAAAATTTTGATGCAAAGTTTAAAATATAATTTATTTTCAACGATATTTTGAAAAACCCTCTCGTGACAATTCATTCAAAAATCACATGTTGGCCTGCACCATATTAATTTAGTATAAAGTTCGACATTATCACATGATATAAATGAACCATCTTTCAGAAATTTGTTAATTATTATTATGACTGATATTTCATCAATTATTCAAGGGGGATACAATCATCCTACAAGCAGACTTTGGCAATCTGAAAGAACTTTAAAAAAATCAAGTTTAATCTATCCAATTTTTATAACAGATATAGCTGATGCTGAAGAAGAAATAAGTTCTTTGCCTGGTCAAAAAAGGTATATAACAGATAGATAGACAAATTAATTAATATATAATGATTTTGATGAATTTACTTTTCAAAAAAATTAGATGGGGAGTAAATAAACTTGAAGGATTTATTGGGCCATTAGTTAAAAAAGGTTTGAAATCTGTAATGTTATTTGGAGTTCCTACTAGCGGAAAGGTTTGCTCAAAAAATATTTGAAATTTATTTCATTTTCTTATCTCATAATATCCATTTCACACATACGTTTCTTTAAAAAATAATAAATCATACATATAGGATGAAATTGCTACGATAGCTGATGATGAGAATGGACCTGTAATTCTTTCGGTGAAATTACTTCGTGAAAAATTTCCTGAATTATTTATAGTGTGTGATGTTTGTCTTTGTGAATATACAAGTCATGGACATTGTGGTAATTAAAATTAACACCAAGTGTTAATTTATATTTATGTCATACATGCTTGTGGAATATATTATTTTGTAAAGCTAATTAACTTCAAAAACAAATGTTTTTGATAGGATATTTAAATAAGGATGGAACTATAAATAATGCAGCTAGTGTTAAACGATTAGCTGAAGTTGCAACCAATTATGCAAAGGCTGGTTGGTTCTATCTATCTATATTTCTTGAAAAAAAAAATTTTTTTTATTTTTTTGTAATAATTTTAAATAAATAGGTGCGCATTGTGTGGCACCATCTGATATGATGGACGGAAGAATTAAAGCTATAAAAGAATCATTGATATGCGAAGGTTTAGGCAATAAAGTTGCTTTAATGAGTTATAGTGCTAAATTTGCTAGTTCATTCTATGGACCTTTTAGGTACCTTTTAATTATTTGTATTTATTTTACGCATTTAATAATGAAATTGGCTAACTGTATATAAATTCAATTAAATGCTACTATTATTTTTTAGGGATGCGGCAAATTCTGCACCTACATTTGGTAATCGTAAATGTTATCAACTACCACCAAATTCACGTGGATTAGCACGCCGTGCAATCATACGTGACATTGGTGAAGGAGCTGATATCATAATGGTTAAACCTGGAATGCCATATTTGGATATACTTCGAGATGCAAAAGAAATCAGCGAAAATTTGCCAGTAGCTGTTTATCAAGTTTCTGGTGAATTTGCTATGATTTGGAGAGCTTCTGAAGCAAAAGTTTTTGATCTTAAAGTCGCAGTATTTGAAAGTATGGAATCTTTCTTAAGAGCAGGTAAAAATTTTTTTTTTGTAATTTTATTTTTTAATTTAATTGAATCATTAATTTAATTGTAATTTTATAACTTATATTAGGTGCAAATATAATATTAACTTATTATACTCCACAACTTCTTGAATGGTTGGATAATTGATTAGAATGTTGTAAATTATTTAAAAAAATTTTTCTTTCAAAAAGGTTGTATTTAATCATGAATTTAAATTTAAATTATTAAACACATTTTACATACCTGAAGGTGTATATTATTATTATTATTATTATTATATTATATTGTGCTAATCATCAACGCTTTGCCATTCATTCATTCTCATGACCCTATTTCTTTATTTCCAAATCTTCTAGCTCTAACAAGTAATCAATATCACTGACTACCCAATTCCAACTCATTTTTAAATAATAATATAAATTTCTAAAAAATTGTTATTATTAAAATAATTATCACTGTCATTATCATCTACCCTTTTTCATTAGATTTAAAATAAATTTTGACGGTGAATCAAAATGTGATGTTTCTAATCCAAGTAATATAATTCTTCTTGTTTGATCATTTGTATTGTCTTGAGTTTAAAATATAATTGATATCAACATCTATTCCTACATCCATCTTAAATTGTATTCTCTTTTTAATGTTCCAAGTCTTATATTAAATGTTGATGACAATAATAAAGATGATTTGATTGTCATCTATTCAAAAACAAAACATGTGGAAACACAAAAGATATATATTCCAAAGAACCCAATAGCTAAAGCTATTTTATCTGGGGTATATGCTAAAAATAAGGGAAAAAGGTACCAGATTGGAGGAGGTGCATTATCCCAAAATACAATGAATTGAAGCATTGTAATTATAATCCTGAGAGTAAGTACTTTGCTAAAAATGGCACTTTTTTTGTTATGTATTTTAATGATTCTGAAAGCCTTATAAAAACCTTTTGTAAAGTATTACAACCATGTTATCTGGTTTTCACAATAAGGAAGGAAAATTGTGCTAATTAGAGATAAAGCAGGTTGACATGTATATAAGAAATTTGATTTCACGTATAACTTTTATTAACTTTTGATAACTTATAACTTGATAATTTATAATAACAATAAAATATTTCTTAAAGAAATAACAAGATTTCAACCTACCCAAATTATTATAACCACAAAACCAAAAACCATAAAAATTCCTGATCCACATAATTAAGTCCCCTATTGTCACCACCCAAAATAATCAATAGGTGACAACTCAGTGCAATTTCATCCATAGACTTTCTATTTCTTTTATCGCCAGTAAGTTTGTTTTTTGTTCTGTTTTTGAATTGACTTTTTTCTTGGTTCTATTTCATTGATAGAATCGATTTATAAGCTTTATCATGAAGTAAGAAATCAAGAGAGAGTCCAAATAACAACCTGCAAAAAAGTTTATAATTGAAAATAAGCACTTTTTAAATGTTATTTGTTTTTTGCAATATGACAATCATAATTCATTACATTTGCATAAAGGAATAGTAATATTTATTGGTAATATTTATGAATAATTTACGAATATATATACAAATATCATATTTTAGTAATATTAATAATATAATAATGATCTGAAAATTTAATAAAAAAATTTATGGTAATTATTATCTCATATTTACATTTTGATATTTTAAGTTACAAAAATCTAATTAATTTAAACAAAATTAATTAACATAAGGAAAAAAAGAAATTTTAGGTGTTATGAAAATGGCGTTGCATATAGAGTATTAACTTGATTTTTAATGGCTTTGTTTTGCAGAAATGAAAGATAGAAATTAAGACAAACCAAACCTTCTTGAATCTCTATTATCAAAGAAAAAGTTAAATCAATTGGCTTTGTAAGAAGCATATGTCAAATTTATTTTGCAGATAATGGATGTCAAACAGCTCTTAAAAAGTTCAATTGCTCATATTATCTTTATTTCCAATGCTTATTTCAAGTACTGGATATCACAATTCAACAAGGTTAATCTCCTCAAATATCACCATCATCCATTTACGACCTATTACTCGGCTCTTTAAGGATGTATGAAGTTTTTTGCTCCAAAGAAATTAATCAATATGGTGTTGTTGTGCGTGAAATGTGAATTTGCAATTCACGTATGGAGGCTTTTCAATAAGAAAGGACCATACATACATAATCTAATTGAAAATAGGATCTCAAAATTTTACTATGCAAAGTGGATAGCATACAAATAGAGGAAAGTTTGTGGTAGTTGCTCATAGCCGTCACCGCCATCACCACCGTTGTTATCATTAACATGATCATCACTACTATTGCTGCTGACATCATAAAAAAATTTGATCGATTGTATTAATGCTAGCTAAAAAAGCAAATGAGAAAAATTTAACATTATAAAAAAATTAAATCAAAACTCGAGTAGTTTTGGTTGTTAAAATTGCTATTAATGCATATATACTTACAACCACACTCAGTCTGTATGATATT